AGAACTTTATAAATGTTTGTTTTATTTTGTGAATTACTTGTTGGTTTTAGTCTGTAAATAATCATTGAAATTATTTGTTAATTTAATTTTTGTCAGCCATAATAATTTTATTTTAGTGATTAATTAATTTATTTATTTGTTTTAGTAAGTGACTGATTTTCTTGTTTTTGTTTGTTTGTTATTTGCCCAGTTTGATATTTGTTTGTTTATTTGCCACTATAGTCAATGATTGAGTTGATTGGTTGATTAATTAATTTGTTTGTTGATTGGTTGTCAGTGACAGTATAGTCTGTGTTTTATTAAATTATCCCTTGCAAATGTTTTCATTTTTAGACATCCTATATGCTCAGATGCTAATAAGATGATTCTGTTGCACGGCTGGTTTGATAATAAATATAAAGTTCATCTAAAGGTTACAGTGACTGTGGTGACATTAGACAAATGTCACAGATTGTACTGGGGAGATCAATGTCTCAGTGCGTTAAATCGGTGTCTAATTACAGCACTCACAGGCCCTCAGACGAGTCGGTTTCATCAGGTCTACTCTCACGACTCAACGACTCTTTTGGCACATTTAACATTGAGGTGGTTTGAGTTCATTCTCTGTTTTTAGAACTCATTATAAACAAGTCCTTTGTGTGTTATTCAAGAGGCCATGCTGTGTTGTTTCACATGTTTTACTTTGACACAGCAAGCAGCATTTGCAGATCAAGAAACACTCATGATCTCAAATCCATTCTTATCTGTTTAGTAACCATAGTGATTTCAGTTCCCATTTGGAAAATGAGCTCATCAGATATCTTCTTATCTTAACTTGACACTTACAGTAAAGGTGACCTATAAATTAAAATTCACTTTTCTAAGATATTTGAAAACATTCTGTAAAATTCAGGGGAGCTTGCATTTTTTATTTTTTCAATTTCCATAGACTTTGAGTAGCTTGAGTAGCTTTCACCAAAAGCCACTTGACTGCATTTGTTGAATTAATCACATTCAAATGTGGACCAAAATATGCCAGATCAGTGTGTTCTCGTCTTTTATTAATATATTACACTATAAAAAGTGATTTAGTTACTTAAAAAAATTGAGTAAACCTGTCAAGTAAAAGCCTCAATTTAACTTTACTTAAAGTGTGTAAATCTGTTGTAACTCGGATCTATTAAGTTGTCTTAACCTATTTATTTTAATTTTTTTTTATAATTATACACATAGCTTATTTGCTCAATAATGCAACCCAGGCTCATTATTGAAACGTACCCCTCTATAGATTTCTAGACATCGCAAAATAGGTCCCAGGAGCTGCGTTTTTTTTGCAGTTTTTGTTTTCACAAATCCACCAGAGGCCGCTGTGTATACATTTTCAGATTTTACATTTCTCTTGCGAGTACCATTCGCGCCTGCTGTTCTCGTGTATATTGCCAGAAGCCGCTGTTGAGTGACTGACTAAACCTCCACCCTTCCCTAAACCTAACCAATAGTGTTTTTAAAAGCACCGATTGACCCTATCACCCACTTCCCTAAACCCAACCGACAGTGTTTTTAAAAGCAATCCAGAAAAAGAATGATTTTTACCATGTTTTCAGATCTTACCACATTCTCACCCTGTTATTTACTAGTTTATTTTTATTTTTTGTGTGTGTTCGTGTTTTGTTTTTGTTTTACCTGCTTTCTGGGTTTCTCAGGGTGCTCTAATTTCCCCCTCAAGTCCCAAGACATGCACTATATATGAATTGAATAAGTTAAAAAGGCTTCCGCTGCATAAAACATGCTGGATAAGTTGGCGGTTCATTCCGCTGTGGTGACCCCTGATAAATAAAGGAAGTAACCGAAAGAAAATGATTGAATGAATAATAAATTCTTGCTACACCTAAAAAGCTATTGCAAATTGTTAGTTTGTATCTAAACCACCACAAATAGAGGATTGGATTGACGTTGAAAATATATTTATTATCGAGAAAATTACATTGTGTAAATAACCAAAAAGATACACAGTATTTGTTGACTTCTGGTCCAAGTGGATTGAGTATATTACTCACATTCAACCTAATGTGTTTCTGTTATGAAATCTTCAGTTTCATGCAGACTTATTATTAGGGGCCAAGCACCGTAGGTGCGTAGGCACCTATTGCTTTCGTTAGTGTTCTTCTTCTTCCGTTTCTTCCGCCGGATTTGAATGGCAGCCCATATAGGCGTATGCGGGAAAGTTGTATAATTTGGCACAATGATAGAGGCCAGTCTCAACATTAATCAGACTAAATATGAAGTCTTAAAATCAAACTCTCTTGCGCCACCACTTGTCCAAACTTTCACGTATGTTTATCATGATAACTTTTGAACCGAATGGGCTACAATCAAAATTCTTTTTTCCTCTGATTCCTTGGCTCAGACCGATTTAAACGCACCCTATGACGTCATGAATTTTTTCGCGCTATTTAAAATTTTTTGAAAAACCTATTTGATCGAACTCGTCCTAGGCCGTTTCTCCGATTTTCACCAAAATTAAATCACATGATCTACAGACCATGCCAACCAAAAGTTATGGAATTCAAGTTGATTTGACCAACCGTTTTTGTTTAACTTGCGATCAAATTTTACGAAGAACTTGCGAAAATGGACTTGAGACGATATCTCCGTAACGCATTCACTGATTCACACCAAATTTGGTATGTGTTATGACAACTAGGGTCTGAGGTTACATGCAGAGTTTCGGCGCACTGCCCCCTAGTAGTCCGGAGATACAAAAAACTTGCTTTTTGGCTTATAACGTCTCAACCTTTCGTCCGAAACTCATAAAACTGCTCTCATTACATCCGCCAGAGCATGTCGAGCTGAATGATGTCTGATTTTCACAGGTCAGCCATTTTGGGCGTCGCCCATTTCGATTTTTGGTCAAAAATGCTATATTTTACCAACATATTCACATATCATTACAAAACATGGTAAGCATCTGGCACAATGATAGAGGACATATTAACAATAATCATACCAAATATGAAGTCTCAAAATCAAACTCTCTAGCGCCACCACTTGTCCAAATGTTCATGTATGTTTATCATGATAACTTTTGATCCAAATGGGCTATATTTGGATGCTATATTTTGCTATATTTGCTATATGCTATATATGCTATATTTTACCAACACATTCACATATCATTACAAAACATGGTATGCATCTTCAACCCCATGCCCTGAAAGTCCTTAAAAACTTCTGGAGCAGCGCCACCTTTTGGTCAAACGTGCTTGCCCCCTTAATTGCTGCTTGCAGCTATATTACATATTATTTCTGCTTCCACTTGCTTCTGTTGAAAGTTTTTGTATAAATGGAAGATAAAGGGATATATGGCTGTGCTTTGTCATAAGGAACTGTGTAATGTTTTTTCCCCTTGATTATGGAAATATTAAGAGATTATTAACTAGATTAGTAACTAATGTTGGGGATTACATCTATTTGAAATACAAACTCTAATGGTACAAAATCACTGGGGTGTGGTACCTTTTCTAAATCGTAACGTGGACATTAGTACCTTTAGGGTACTGACATTTGTATCTTTTAGGTATTAAAATGTACCTTTAGGACTTGTTAGGAACATAAAATGTGCCTTTTGAAAAGGCATCCCAGTGACAAATGTTATAGCTTTATTTCTGAGAGTGTACCCTGAACAAACCTTTTGAGAAAGAAATTCTCCTATTCAACTGATTTTTCAAAATCCAACTCTTTAACAGTGTAAAAAAGTTTGAATCCATGAAATAGCATTTGACATCTCCTTAGGAAGTTTCTGTATTATGGCCCCAGAAGCATAACTCTAAAGACTTGACCTTGAGTCCGGCGAGTTCTGCTCTATGAATACTGGATTTTTAGATTTTAATCTTGTACTGTAGCACATTTGGAATTGGACAGCTGCGCCACACTAGGCCCTTTCTCTTCCCTCCAAATATCTGTTGAGATAAAAGGATGATTATCTTTAGGGCTTTTAGTCTTATTGGACAGAGATGGGAGGTTGACAGGAGACAGGTTTTAAGATTGGCATTGGACATGATTATCTGGAGATTAACATTGCCATGTGTACATTAATTGTGTCATGTATCTATTATCTTGGCGATGTCTCAAAGAGCTGTTCCCTCTTGGCGTATATTTATCATGGTTGTTTAAATGTTAAACCTCCTGCATCCTTATGGACATTTTTGTTTGTTTTATTTTTATTTGATCATTTTGGCGGCTCTAATTAAAAACAAATTTTGTTAAAAGGCAAATTATCTTATTTGCTTTTATACATCTATGAAACTAGGCGCAAAAATAGTTTCCCCTGAATCTGAAGTTTTTTTATAAATAAAAAAATATATCATTTATTTCAGGTTGGGCTTGTGGAGCAAATAAACAGTTTTAAAGCACTTGAGACCAAATTTGCAGCTTTAATTAAAGTAGTCATTATAAGTATGTGGGAGTTTTGGTAGGGGTATTAAAGTTTGTTTAATTTGAAAAAGTTATCTTTGGTGTTATTTTTAATATGACTGCAGAAATTTTATATAATTGTATATAAGTATGAAACATTTATAAAATTATATAGGAACATATTTGCATAGGCAAACTAATGTAAAGGGTTAAAATCTTTTAAGTAAATTAGTTTTTGTCATTTTTTGTCCTTTATGAAATTATATGTAGCTTTTTTTTCATTGACACACAGGGGTTAATTACACAAATTTCATAGCTAAACCATTTCTGAAACTGATTTTGAGAGTATTGTTCTAAAAATCTTTGAAAGGAGCAGATGAAAGATGAAAACAGAGTAGTTGAAAATGTGCAAAAAAATAAAATTAAATAAAAAACTGTGTCCTTGTTCATAATGAATGCTACCCATAGATATATTTGCCATTGAAACAAAATCATTCTGATCCTACCTTTTTGTCATTACTCTCAATGGGAAATCGCTGTGCGCCCTGCAGAAATCAAATTAATGGGATGACATGGTGAGTGTGTGTTTTTCTTCGTCTTTGTTGTAGACTTGAGAGAAGTGGTGTTTGTCATCCAGAGCCAGAGGAACTCTTTCCATGTGCGGCAGGCGGAGAAACTCAGAAAAGACCTTCTGCTGCAGACACAAACTCTACAGGAGGTAATGAGATTTCACTTTTTATGTGCTCACATTTTTCACTTTAACTTTACATAACCTTTTGACCTCATTCTAAGCATGGAATTTTAAAATGTACTCAAATCATATCAAGTCAAAGAGATGTGACTTAGAAATGAAACATTAAACACAAACGATCACCTTCTAAATGAAATCTTTTTGTGAATGTTTCAAGGTAATGTTGAAACAGTGGTGTCAAATTCAGTTCCTGGGAAGCCACAGCCCTGCACAGTTTAGTTCCAGCCCTGCTTCAATTACCCGTAGGTTTCAAACAAGCCTGAAGGACTTAATTAGTTAGTTAGCTGTGGCCCTCCAGGAATTGAGTTTAACCTCTGTTAAGTAAGAGGTTTGTGGGAATCGGATGTGTAGAAATGAAGTCATCCCAAAAACATATTAAGCAGCTGCTCAATCAGATTAAGCAAAACAGTAAACAAAATGTCTGCACACAACTACTATAGATCTCAAAAGAGTCTATTGAGAGTTTATTCATTCATTTATTAATAAATAGTTTTTTTCCTACATAAACATATATATATATATATATATATATGTGACATAAATATTAATGACAATAATATAATTTTTAAATAATAATTACAAAAAAGATTATTCAGAAGATGCAAAAAAGCTAGAAGAAATGTTTCAAATCAAATTCCATTTTCTTCTCTCTCTCTCTCTCTCTCTCTCTCTCTCTCTCTCTCTCTCTCTCTCTCACTATCTTGGTTGATTGGTTAATTAGGTTATTGTTTTCAGGTGTGATGTGGTGAAAATAAACATTATTTTGGATCCCTTGTTTGATCCGAAGAAGACCTGATGTGTAATTCTCATTAAGTGAAGTTTATTTATAAACTAATATCGAGAGAATCACGTGCTTATGATTAACACAGCTGGCTCAGAGTCAAGCTAATGTACGATCCACCAATTGAAAAGAAAATGAACGAATGAACTAATTTAAAATAAGTATTTTGAACCCCTCAGATGATTCCTAACTTAGTATAATTAACCAAAGCATCTTACCTTAGCCTTCTTCTTTAACCCCCTCTCCTCCTTTTTTCCTCTATAGGGCAGCACGGCGGCCCAGTGGCTAGCACTGTGGCCTCACAGCAAGAATGCCTCCCGTTTGAGTTTCTACCCAGCCAGTTGGCATTTCTGTGCGGAGTTTATGTTCTCCCCGTGCTCGCGTGGGTTTTCCCCGGGTCCTCCGGTTTCCTCCCACAGTCTAAAACATGAGACATAAGTAAATTGACTTAACCAAATCAGGGTGGTTTCTCGAGATCTACCTGAGCTCAAACTCCCCTCTCGCCCTGCAAATGGGAGGGAGCCCCGGGCTCGAGGATCTTACAAGCTCAGGGCTCTCTCCCAGGACAGCATGCCAAACTAGCTTTATTACCAATCATCAGCTAAGTGTGAACTCTTGAAACTTTTTTGTGAGAGCTAAAGTGGCAGTGTGCCAATTTTTGTTTGATTAATAAATCTGACTTGTAAAATTATTTTGGATTATTAATGTTAAGCAGCAAAAAAAAAAAAAAAAAAAAAAAAGAGAGATAGAGAAGAATCAACCAATTGCTAATTTGATACCATTTAATAGTCCTTTAATTTATTTATTTTTTACAAATGATTTTTGGGATATTTGTACAATATTAAGTTACACAGACCTCTTAGCCAATGGTTGAATGTGTGTTTTTTGATTCACTTTATTACTCTATTACTCTTGATGTAGGCTTAAGGGGGTCGCACACCGGATGCACCGCTCCGCGACACGCCTCACCACGCAGTGACATGCGTGGTAAGGCTTCTAAACATAGATTTCTATTAGGGTGTGCACACTAGTGCTGCAAGTCGCGCCTGTCCATGGCGCCCAGCTACAACTTGGGACGCTGTTCATATTTCTGCCACGCCACAGAGCGACAACTGAATAGTTTCATATTAAATAACATTCAGATGTGTGGGTCTGATGTGCGAAACGTTCAACTGCCATGTGTGTGCTGTGTCCACGGCACTGAGTGGCGCATCCAGTATGCGACGCCCTTTAGAGTTGCCTAAGGCTATCCAAATGGAAATTATAATGTTTTTGTTTTTGTTTTTCTTTTGTGGATTCTAAAGGTTTTGCTTCCATACACATATTGTTTCCAAAAAATGTCTGCGTCCACATAGAACTCCATAGTGGAACATGGAACTCCACATGGAATGCCAAAAAGTAATGTTTTGCCTCAACATCTACGCACCGGGCAGTGTTTTAAGATCTGTAACAAAAAACTTAATGTCAAGACACCAATGCCAGTGTAAAAAATTCCAGCGTCAAGTGGACAAAAAGGCCGAAACTATTTTAAACTTGGGCATTGATTTAAATCTTTTGCCATCTCCATGAGGCCTGAGTTGGTTCGAGTTTAATAACCGTTTTCTTGCATTTAATCTGGCAACGTTTTTATAGCATGTCTTATTGAAAATTCTCCATTGAGAAGAGGCAAGGCCATATCACAAAGTGACATTTCCAGTAAGTAAAGTAGTAGGATTGACATTTCAAATGTTAAAAGCCTGAGAGAAACTGTTGGTTTCATCTTCTATATTCCACCCTTGATAGTGCGCTCCATTTACTTCTCAGCATGGAGACCGTCCTCTCTGAGCCAACATGTAATGCAATCTATTTTTTCCCCAGCCCCAAACAACCTCACCTGATAGTTTAGCACTTTTGTAGACAAACTCCTTCTGACTGCTTGTTCTGAAAATCTGAAGTGCCAAACCGCAATAACCTCAGAGATCGGCAGCAGTTCACTGAGCTGTCACCCTCCGATCCAATCAAAACCAGATTAAGAAAGCACTCTTATCCTGCACTACATCCCGTCGGCTTCCTTTCTTTTATTCTCAAGTGCTTCTTTTTCCCAGAACCACCTTTCAAAGCTGGATGTTCTACAGCTTCCTTGTTAATTATGACTGATTTATATTGCACCAAATAAGTTGTTTTGATTTCTTTAATCTTTCATATCCTATTATCGGATTAGATGCTTATTAGCAACGCTTCATGAACACAAATGAAGTAGGAAAAACATACAGTGCTGTCGACTTGTTTGAGTGTTGTGATGCTCTTTAAAATGGTCAGGGACTGAGAAATTAAAATAATTATCTTTTGACATGTAAGAGGTCATTGTATTATTCAATTATTCGGTTTTCTCATTAATCTAAAAACAGCTCATATATCAGAACCAATCTGTCAAACAGCAGGTTGTGGAATGTGCCTCTTTATTATGTAATGGTGTGACTAAAGCCCACCTTCACTGAAGAAGACCACACCCACTGCATTTGACTGCTTAGCTCCACCCACTGATTCACACTGCATGAGGTAAATAAATAACGAAGGAGTCGAAATGCAGGTCTATGCAACTACCAAAGAGAACAAGACACTGCACTTCCATGTTTCAAGTATTTCAATTATTTGCATTGCTTTCTTTCTGATCCTAATGTTGACAATGTGTCCTTACAACACTGATCTAACTCTGAACTAGTTATTTTATTTTCAAGATCAGTGGTAAAGTATGATGCTTTTAATATGTAATGTAATGTAATGTAATAGGGCTCTATTTTGACAATCCATGTGCAAAGTACAAAGCGCAGGGTGCAAATGCATTAAGGGAGTGTCTGAATCCACTTTTGCTATTATAAGGACAGAAAAATGCCGTGGCACATGGTCTTACAGGGTTGAGCTTATTCTCTTAATGAGTTATAGGTGTATTTTGAGAATAAACCAATCAGAGTGTCATCTCCCATTCCCATTAAGAGTCAGTTGCGTCACGCCATGGCACATTTGCTATTTACATCACAACTTTGTAAGTGAAAAAACTGAGCGTTTCACAAGCAAGAAAACAGTTAAACAGAGCATCTACAGCGCAAGAATGAGAAATGAGCCTCCACATTATTTACTTTCGCTTTCACTCTCATGGATAGGGAATCGTGTTGTGCGCACAGACATCTATTAGCCTACATAATTAATTTTATTTGTTAAGCTCAACGATTTGTTTCAAAACTATTTCTAGGTTCAGTTCTAATTTCCAGCAAACAAATAAATGAACAATAATAACAAAGTGTGTTCAAAAAACAGAGTTATATCCTAAAACACAAGCTGTGCCCAATATGGTCTGAAACCTGACAGGTGGGAAAATCTAAGCTTGTTTTTAATAAAACAAATATAAATATACTCATAATAAATAATACTTCTAATAATAATAACATTATACAAAAGCAAATTGCTATGAATAAACTGAAAAAGCTCCCCAAGATGTAGAAGGCATGAAAGTATGGTTTTTATATTTATGTAGGCTAGAAAATAATAATTTTTGCAATATTTCAATCCTTTATTTTTATATTCTTTAAATATCCTTATTGCATCCAATATATATATATATCCTTAATATTTTAATTATTAGTCGTTTTGACATTTTGCACAACGCTGTTTAAACAGCAAATGCATTTGCGCTCATATGTGCACCTATTGGTCTGTGTGTATGATAGGGCCCATAGTATGTCTTTGCTTGCAACATTCGTTTTTACAATGAAGTCACGTCACGTTATAATAACTGACTGATCAGCTTTATCCTTTGCATGAAATATTCACATTTCGTCAGACTAATTCAGAGAACCACAGCAAACACTGCAGTGCTTTTTAATTGTCTCCATAAATAAAACTTGTATCAGAGCTGCAGCAATATTTTGTCAGCTTGTCATCCTCTAGGAAAATGATTGTGCAAAGCTCATTGAAAACGGTGAAGGAAGCGACACACTCGCGCTTTCCACATGCTTTTAAATAAGATATGCGAGCGGCTCCTTAGGCTGTCAAACATGTATGCAAAAGTTTACATTGCTGGAGCTATCATTTCTAATCTTGCTCCAGAATAAATAAAGCAAAGCATTGAAATATGCAAAACTGTTGCCGGGGATTTCTTGCAGTCTGAACATCTAATCCATATTGTTTGCAAATATTTGAGAAATTTAGC